ATATATATATACAACCTTATTTGGTACTTTATGGAGTGCAAAGGAACAGGTAAGTATCCTGAGGTCATTAGCTGAACCTGAAAATGAGTTATGTTCAAAAAGTTATCCCAATAACTAAGGCATAACTAAGGCTGCATCCACACTGCAGAAATAATCTGGTTTGACACTACTTTGACTAGCCTGGCTCAATGCTATGGAATTCTGGGGTCACCACAAACTACAATTCCCAGAATTCCATAGCATTGAGCCTGGCCAGTGAAAGCAGTGTCAAACCAGATTATTTTTGCAGTGTGGCTGCAGCCTGAGTCACATTACAAATATAATCTTGCTGTTGTTGTGTGCCTTCAAATAATTCCCAATGTATGGCAACCCTAAGACAACCCGATCATGGGGTTTTCTGGAGCTGAGAGTGTGTGACTCGCCCAAGGTCACACAGCAGGTTTCCCTGACCGAGAGGAGAATTGAACCCTCACCGTTGGAGTCACAGACCAACACTCAAACCACTAGGCCATGCTATCTCTCCAGCAATGTAATTTGCTGTGTTTGACTCCTGTTGCAGTAAAATTTGCAGAAAAAGTTTAACAGCTTAATTATTAGTGAACTCAACATACGTTAAGAATTAACTGTTAACTAATTGCTACGGTTTTCTTTTTCAAATGAAGCTTTCTGGTTTTTTACTGTAACTGTGTACATTAATTATATTTATAGTTACAGTATCTGTGGTCTTACAACATAGGTGTGTTTTGTGCTACAGACCAGCAGTTTCTAACATTCAGATGGGATTGTTTGTGGAGCTAAATTCAACTAGGAACTTCTCGTTTCTTTTAAAAATGCAATCCCACTATATTTTTACTGTTGCATTATAACTGCATCTAATTGCAAAACTTTCTAAACTCTAGTGTATACAATCTAATAATCTGACTCTGACAAACAGCAGAATAAAGGATGTGGAGACTGGGCTAAACAAGGAAATAATATGCATTGCTAGGTTAATAAGATTCCAGATATATGTGTATTAGCTTAGTTCCAGGGTTTAGTTCCTGGCACAGCAGACAAGAGAACTAGATGAAAGTCAGAGGATTCATGGAAAAGATGGGGTTTGAGAAAGCATTTGAAAGAAGAGCCTTGGTGGTGGTTGTGTTCCTTCAAGTTGTTCCTAACTTATGGTGATCCTAAAACCACTAGATCATGGGGTTTACTTTGCAAGATTTATTTACAGAGAGTTTGCTTTTGCCTTCCTCTGAGACTGAGAGAGTGTGACTTGCCCAAGGGTTTCCATGGCCAAGTGGGGATCTGGACCCTGGTCTCCAGTTGTAGTCCAGTGCTCAAACTATTACACCACGCTGGCTCTAAGAGAGTCTTGGCACCCTCCTCAAAATTTATTGTGGCCAGAAATGCTTATATGTATCTGGGAATGTAGCAGTCAGGGAATCAGCAGAAGACTAAGAATGGGAGGGTGGCTATGAAAGAACTAGAAAAGATCCTAAAATGCAAAGATGTAAAACTCAGCGCAAAAGTTAGAATCATACAAGCCACTGTGTTCCCTATTACCATGGATGGATGTGAGAGATGGACAGTTAAGAAAAATGATAGGACGAAAATCAATGCATTTGAGATGATGTGGTGCTGGAGAAGAGTGTGATCCTATGATCCCATGGACTTGATCCCATGGACAGCCAAAAGGACAAACAAGTGGGTCCTAGAGCAGA